AGTAGAACACATGTTCTAATGGGTTCTGTTAAGCTAAGAAGGCATTCATTATGGGTAGATTCGATGACAGAATGTATCTGACATTGGAGGGTCGTTTATTAACCTATGCAACCTAGGGAAAATGACTTAATCTCTTAGACCTCAGTTTACTCATCTATAAAACAAGAGGGTTGACCTGTTAGGTTCCTTTTACCTCTAAATATGTGATGTGATCTTGGACAAATAAGTAGTACAGAGGGTCAATCTTATAGATTTGACAGAATAAGATGAAGATAACAATCTGGATTGCATTTGGGAATGGTAGGGAATCTTTCATCACAGTTCTAAGCTTCTCCCTCATACAATATTATAGAACACCATAACCTCAGAAGAATCAAAATTGTGAGTGACTCAGAGGGCAATGGAAGAGACACATAGAGGGTATATGATAGCTGTGGAACACGACCAATGATGATTTACAGGCAAAAACTGGCATAAAAATATTCAGAAAGTACAGGATTGGCAAAGAAGTAGGGTGGTCATGTCTTGTCAGTGAGAGACAACATACAACATGTCCTGAATATTGTACTGCTGTCCACTGAATTTTAAAAGGCCCAGAGGAAAGCCTCCCATGCAACAGGAAAATTGACAATGGAAGACTGATTGAAAGATGAGAAAAAGAATCACACAAGAAAGTGTTGATGGTTTGTAGTGTATATCCATGGTAAAAATGTGACATGGATGAGAGCCTCAGAAGTATTATTTGTGGAATTAGGGTATTCCTCTTCTAGCAGCTAGGTGGCAGAGTAGATAAATAGCTCTGGGTTTGGAGTTAGAAAGACCCAAGTTCAAATCCTACTTCAGATCCTCACTAGCTGTGTGACCCCAGGCAAGTCACTTAACCTTTTTCCCTTTGTCCAACTGTAAAATGGGTCTAATGATAGCATGTACTTCCCAGGGTTATAGTGAGGATCAAATGAGATTTTTGTCAAGTGCTTGGCATAGATCCTGGCACATAGTAAGCACTTAACAAATGCTTGTTTCCTTCTTTCATCTAAAGGCCTACAAAAATGCCTTACTGTGGTGCAAAAAACAGCAGAGTATACAATGTTCTTCAAGTCTCACCAAGCTGTATAGACGTCTAGTAGAGGCCTAGTGACCTCTGTGACACCCTATGTGGATGAAATCATAGATCTTCTGAGATTCTGAAATATGGTGTACCTAACAGCAGGTCTGCATCAAGTATTCTTTTATTTTAAAATGCAGGTTTACCAAACAATATCATGTCTTTTTTTTTTTTACTTAATTCTCAGGGGAACAACTACCTACTTTTCTTAAATTTCTTTAGCCCCAGAGAAATTGTAGCTGACTTGTATGAAGACTAAACATTCACATAACATGAGGTCCACTAACAGTAATAATGGGACTTGCAAAATTAAATTCCAGAATGCGGCAGTTAAGAAGAAATAATATTGAAGGGAGAAGCAAGCCATGCAATTCTTTTTTTTTTTTTTTTTTTTTTTTTTTTTTTTTTTTTTTTTTTTT